CCCCTCCGTTTTCACTGGTGGCAGCCATTTTGTCTTTAGAGAGTTGTTTTTGTTGTTGTTGTTGTTGTTGCTGTTGTCCTGCGACGCCTTTCGCATAACTGAACGTGTGCGCTGCATTTGTTTTACATTTTATTATGCTACTTTAAAATGCCGAGCAGAAAGTAGCTAAACAAAACAACAAACAAAAAGCAGCAGGAAAATACGAGAAAAGCTGAAAAAGTGAAGAAGAAAGGGGGCGGATAAGCAGGAGAATGAGGCTTCCACACACACAACACGGTTTGCTTTCCTTTTTAATTTTTCTTCTCTTTTTTTGTGTAGCTTTTTATTATATTGCAAACATTTTTTGAAGGACAACTGTCAAGTCGATGGAACAACAAAATTGTGTCAGCGAAAGTACCAACAAGAACAAGAAAAGGAGAGCCCTAATTGAATTGATATTGTCGCAAGACCCCGGCGCCTGTCAATAGTTTCCATTTGGCAACTATTTTCGAGATTGCCAAGCCGTGGATGCAATTTGTGGGTCAACGAGTCTGTCGAACTGTGCGCTTCGGACATTACGATGCCCCAAAGTTCGGTTATAAAAATGAAAAATCGTTTATTTTCTTTACTACTACTACGACAATGAAGAACTGGTTGCTCACCAGCTTCAAACTATAACAGATCTAACATCTTCTTTAATCAGCCTCTCGCAAGCCATGCTGTCCCACTCCCATCCATTCAACCTAAAGCACTTGCCATCCCAAATCCCATGTCAATGCGGAATCCTTTAATATTATGCTCATTTTTTTGGCATGCCAATAATTTTATAATGCCCACAATTTATTAGCCCTTGCTGGCAACAGAACCATAGAAGGTTGAAGGCGTTAACAAGGGATACCCGTGCGCAGGCAAACGAACAGACAGACAGAGGGGCAGATAAACATTCTTTCGCACACCACTCTCTGCTACGACATTGTGTTTATAAAGCACAGACACAGATACACAATCATACAAGGCCATTTCACAACAATTCCGTTCACTCACAGCGATGCCCATCCGCACAGAGGACGCACCACGTCGCGTATACTTGATATTTAATTCAATCTGGGCGTAGGTTCTCATTTTTTTGTCGCTGTGCTGCGACGTGCGCTTTAAATTAACACAAACAAACATTGTCAGCGACAGCAGCAGCCCCAGCACCACCGCCCATCCACATGCCCAACCCAACACTACAAAGGCAATGATAACACACACACACACACCCAAGCACGCATAAACCCACACACACAACAACACCCACAGCAACAACAAGTGAGAGAGAGAAGCAACAGCAACACGGCACTTGACAATTACAGACTCAATGACAGTCACAGCCAGCAAATTTATTTGCATTTTAGCTGCCTCTGACTCTGACTCTGCCCCTGCCTCTGCCCCTGACTCTTATTCTGACTGTGGATGTGGAATGGGTTCGGGCTCGGCCCCAGTATCTTCCTTTTCTCTTTTGTTTCGTCCTCGCACTCTCGCATTCTCACCCTCTCTTTCTCTTACCATATTTCTGGGCATTCTCTCTCAGTGTCTCTCTGTCTCTGGCCTATGACTACTTTTGCTGATATTTATACCCTAGCAGGGATTATTCTAAATTTCAGTGCAGTTCGTGGTAAGCAGTAAATAAATTAGTTATTTTATAAATTATATTATCAGCGGTGTTTTATTATGTATCCTCATTATGTTGCGGATAATACGAGTATAAGAAACCCTACGTGTTCTTATTATGTTTATTATAATATGAAGAAACATATTTTAACCGCTGAGATCCTCTAAGAAGCTTTATCCACTCCCTAACACTAAGCTTCTCCGCATTATAGTTTTTTATTATTCTAATATGCTTTACTTATTTTAATTTATTTGCATTTGTGTAGATTATTTGTAATATTTGTAATAAAATATGTCTCAAGATACGACAAAAACAGAACAAAAAATTATTTAACTATATCTCTATGTCTTCCAGGGTATGTTCATAACAAACCCACAAAAGAAAAAGTTTCCCCCAGAGTGCTGCAAGAATGTAAATCTGTATAGATGTACTACACACACACATAATAAAGGCAACCCACTAACTCATGCACGTCTGATTAAACGCAAAAATACGCGACTGCCTGAGGAGGAGACCTATCCACCATCCACCATCCGCCACCCGCCACCCGCCACCCGCCACCGCAGACCACGCAGTCAACCAAAGCCAAACACAGCCATGCTTATTAACATAGATAGCACACAGTCACACACTTACGCAACTGCCACCCGGCCACCAACCAGCCAGCCCCCTGGTACACCCCCTACTGCTAGCAGTGCCCCCTCAATTAGCCTTATTTGTGTTTAAATTGCATTAGGGCCAACAACAAATAGCTGGGAAGAGGAACCAAATAAGAGGAACGTCAGAGGGAGAACACGAAAAATTGAGGCATTTGCTGGTTAAGCCCCTCCGAAGCCTTGCCATCGTCTAAGCATTTATCTAAAAATGCTCTGCTCTCTTATCGATAAGTTGAACTAAGTGCCCAAAGAGCTTAAGTGTATTTGTTTCGGCTAAACCGCCAGACATGGCCAATACCATTAACAAATTCCATTTGTTGTATCCATTTACTGGCATTATCTGATACATATGTATTTTTGTGGAGATACATATGTTTTGCTTGTTCGGTCTAGCCATATGGCTATATTTTGGCTAATTACATTTACTTACATTTTTGATCTCGTTCATTTTGGTAAATTGCCGTCCAAATTCCCATAGATCAACGCCGAACTTCAGGGCCCAATTGCGAACCCTGCAATAGAATAATGACAAATGGATTACAAATCAGAATAAGGAACTCTTTATATGTATATATAAAACTTGTTTGTTATACAGCGTTCATGCAACTTCATTTTGAACGCAAAAAATACACAAAAGCACTGCCAAAAACCCAGCACATGCCACATATGTACGGACATGTGGCCGATTACAAATCAATTTAAATCGATTTTCAATTGCGCATAAATTATTTCCAGCTAATTGCGTAAATGCATACAAATCTTTCATTAAGCAATAAATTGCCGGCTGGCCAGCACGCATAATCATTACCATCATTATGCCAAATGTATTATACGAGCAAGCAAATTCCCACACGAAAGAAGGAGACTACAGCAAAAAGATTCAGACCCAGACCAGGACCCAGAACCGACTCAAGTCCAACTCACTTGAGAGACCCCGAAGACAGCAGCAAAACTCATTACAGGGAATAGAGAAAGGGAGGGCGATGATGGAACTCTCAAGGGTCGAGGGATTACAGCAGGACCAACAGCCCACTATTGTGAAAACATTTGCCAAACATTTATAATCTAAACGCGAAAGTCAAAGCCAAAACAAAAGCAGCACAACGAGGGCTCATAAAACAAGCCAAGGCCCCGGACCTTTACCCGGACCCGAACGAGCAATAGGGACCATGGGGAGGACTGGGGCGGATCGGGGCAACAGCAAATTGAAAATAAAGGAAGAGGACACGAAATCGGAGACCAGACTCAAGTCGGGCCAACGAGCAAGTCGAGGCGTTGATATAACAAAAATGAAATATTACAAAAAAAGAAACAGGGGAAAACAAAGTCAAGTTGAGCCAGAGTAAAGACCATGCAAAATAATGCTCCCAAAAATATTTGCACAATTTTATGGCATTATCTGCAATATCAATATGGGGAGGAGGACAAAGGCAGCCCAACCGCAGCAACGCTGCGTATACGCAATGTTGATTATGTTGAGCCGCCGGCGAGCGAAGGAAGCAAAAGCGGAGGACAACGCTTCACTATCTAGATACAAAATAAGCGCATGTTTATATGGTATGGCTGAAGAGAAAGACAAGGACCCAGCCCCAGACCCAGAGGGGCTATGCGGAGAAGCAAATGCATCTGCAGCCTGGCAGACGGCTGCAGACAAAGTTTTATGGCGCAGGCGATGCCGAAAAATGAATTTAAATTATATGAAAATTGTATTATAAGCGGAAACTCAAAAGAGGAAGGGCAGCAGTCGTTCCACTCTCGCCCGCAGCTACGAAGCGTACTTGCAAACAATGAAGCGAAATAAAGTGGCCAACAAAGTGATTGAAATTGGATAATGCTGATGGCCGATGGCTGATGGCCGGGGCTGATGGCTGATGGCTCACAAAAGTGGTCAGCAGCCACAAAAATAACGAAAAACGGTGCGATCAAGTGCTGGTAATTAAATGGGCGTTTGCGTGTAAGCCGAAGAGGCGAAGTACGAAAAAGATTGGTATTACATTTTCGATAAATATTGTAGGCTCTTCTAGATCTTTATCCATTATGGATGAGTGACAGTCAAGAGAAAACAGAACCTTGATAAAAAAAAAGGACAAAAAATACCACTTATCATTTATAGCCTAGAGCTGAGAGCAGAGATTCATATATCAGAATTCTGTGAATATGAACATAAATAATCAATCATTGCAATTTCGCTACAGACGATCTCACATTCTCTAAAATTTTTTAAACGTCTAAATGTATAAGTCGTGATTCCTTTATCCATCCTCAACTTTCCATAAAAAGGCTTTATCAAAAAGGATTCCCGCACAAAGGCAAAGCCAAGGTAATTAAATCGCGTTTATAGAAGTTAATTGTACTCTTAACCATTGTAGCAGTACTATCGGCTAGTAACCACACATATTATTGGTTCTTAAGATCACTTTAAAAAAACAAATTAGTTCTTCACCCCACTCTTGTGTACTCTCAGTACCAACAGAAATGTAAATATACTCTCGTTGCAGAGAGCGCATAGAATAAAAAAGAGGAAAATAAAATTGAGAGCAAGATCAGTTTTGGATAGAGCGCTTACTATATTCTAAAATAAATTTTAAATAACTAGTTTTTCAAAACTATCAAATCAAGTAGCTCTTGTTTAATCTGTTACAAAATACTAGTGTCAGAAGTTCAGTTATTCATTATTCGAAACTATCACCCAAAGGCAGATATACCCACATAATTGAAAATGAAAAATCCACTGTATTTCCTTTTCTGGCTAATTGTCTTGCTCTGGCTGTCGTTCTTTGTGGCCTTTTTCGGGGCCTTCTTCTATATCTGGACTTATATGTTCTCTCAATGCGGTGACTGCTGCGAAGTGAGTTCATCCACAGCCGCAGTCTTACTATAACTAAAAAGTTCATAATCATTCCAGGGTATTGCTACATTTTTCCTGAAGTGCGTTCAGTTTCCCGGATACTGTGCTGCAGGTATGATGCAGTGCAAGAAACCGTGCTAGAAACCGACGAAGATGCCAAGGGATGGCCCCCGCAGCACGGCTTGGGCCGCTTGTTGGGCAGATAACAAGTTATTAATTGATACATTATTACAAGTTTTGAATAATAAACCTCAAAATCTTTCGTCACTAATAAGTGTTTCTTGTAGGGCGAGACAAGTGTCGACTTGCCGACAGGGTCCCGCACAGTCCTGAGAATTTTATTTAGCCTTCTCTGGGCATAAATATGAAATATTCACTTCGGAATCTAAAAAATCATGACTTTTCTTGAAACATGATAATACAAGGCTCCACTGATCTGCACTTTAATATAATATTTTATTATAAGTTAAAACGAACCTGAAATATTTTCTAAAAAATAGATTCTACAATCTGGTAGATATGGTTATTCTTTATGATCTTGCGCTTGCGCCACAAATTTTCGTTCTTTGGCGAAAGGGGGCGGCCCGAAATTTTTAGATTCACTTGAAACAGTAACATATCACAGGATTCTAGATACAGATGGACTGACAGACATAGCTATTAAGACTCGGCTATTGATGCCGATCAAGAATATATATACTTTATGGGGTCGAAAACTATTCCTTCTGGGTGTTACACACATACACCTTCAGCACAAATATAATATACCCCTATACTCTTCGAGTACCGGGTATGGTCAAATGTTGATACTGACAGGAGGTTCAAGGCATGATGTACACAGTTTAGAGAATTAAATGGAAACTTTCGGGACTTAAGATGGGAGCTAGCCAAATAATCGAAATACAGGTTACCCTCTTACCTATCTAACCTACCCAAGTAACTTTTCATATAGAAAAAGTTTATTCTTGTTTTGCTCTTCCTCGCTTTTCCCTTTGGCCGGTCCACATCCATTCAACGGGTTTTCTTAGGCCGTCTACATTTGCAGCTCCATACAACACCTCTCAGCCCTCTCTCTCATCATGTCGCCCTCTCGCTGCCTGCCCCTGTGCCTGTTCCCATTCACTTGCCTCATTTTCAGTCCCAGTTACAGTGGCAGTGGCGGCCATCGCCATTTTAATGCATGCCTCGTTTGCTTAAGCACCTCCCTTCTCGTCCTGCAAGTAGTTGCATTGAAAGCATCGTACCGGGGCGCCTTCAGCTGCTGCTGCTCCTCCTGACTCAGTGTGGGTCACGTGTCATGGCCAGAACTTTAGCGCCCAAAGAATAGGGACGGCTTTTGTCAAAGCGAGTGTTACATGATTCGTTTTTTGGACAGCCTGCGGATGCCGATTGATTTAAGAGCCAAAACCGATTTGATAGAAAATAAAGACGAATCTCTAGAAACTTTAGATCAATGTAGCCCTAGCATTATATACAACCTGGCTTATTTAATATAACGTAAAATTGGTAATATTGGTCATAATCCAAAACAAAATTTTTAATGTATAAATGGACAGAGCGCTTGTGGCGAAAGGATTGTTGTCTTTGGGGAAACCTGCAACACCGCAGGAGATCACGGAGCAATTGAGAAAGATATTTAACATGTCTGCATTCACATTCACAGTCGACTTGACCCTACAGCAATTCGAACCGATGGGATTCTTTAAGAGAGAGTGTGAACTGTATTCGGTACCCTCTGAAATCTTGAACATAGTCCACGGCAATTGTGAAGTCGGCCCAAAGTCGGAGATCCACCGATTTGAGGAACCGGAAAAAGAAGATGTGGTCTACGGTGTGCCACCCATTGATCCCTCTCAGTCGCTGCGCCATCCGTACCTCTACCAATATTACTAAACCAAAATACAGAAACAAATGCAGAGTTCCGTTGATCAAAGTCATCACTTGGATCTTATTTACATCCAAATTTTGAAAACATTATAAATCTCTTTGTCTAAAATGGAAACCAACAAACGTTGGCAAATAATATACCAATTTAAATTTGATTTTGTTATTGATTTATTCGTGGTGTTTCATCAACTGAAGAATATAGAATTGAATATGTAAGTGACTTAAGGGCATTGAAAACTTTTAAGCTTTTATTTTGACGGTCTGGTCAGTTCTGTGAGTGCATTTTCAGGTCAGATGGTGGCAGTCTCCATTTTGCTTTAAGAACACCCCCACACAGTGAAAGCGCATCGATGTGAGCCCTTGTGATTGCGCATTCAAGTCTGCCAGAGGAGCACTGAAGAGCACTGAAGAGCACTGAAAAGCACTGAAGAGCACTGCTCGAGTAGAGGCACGGGATGCAAAGAAACTCATTTCAATTTCAATGATGCAAAACTGCAAAAACCTATTGACCTACTCCATGGAACTACTACTACTGCGACCCGGCTGTCTGTCCATCCATCTATCTGTCTGTCTGTAGTGCCTACCTGCCTCGGCATAAACTTGCAGCAAGAAAAGTGAAAAGCGGCAAAGAAAACAAGGGGCAGAACAACGGCAAGAAATGCATCGAAACGAAACTAGTTCGATGGCTTTAGGTGTGCATTGTGCTTGAGCATGACATACGTGGTTGGTTCGTGCTCAAAAGGATGCCACAGAATAGGAAGTCACTGGGACCACACCTGAGCTCTCCTCCCCTTCGGCTCGAACCACCCCCACATCGACGTGGTTATAGCCATTGTCAAGTTTCTGGCCAGGCGTAGAAAAGAAATGGGTAGAGCAAAACGTAACTTTTTATTTTGCTGGCCACAAGCACGAGAAGCAGTCGCAGAAAGAGCTCTACTTCAGGCCAAGAAGATGACGTTGATGGCCTTTCATTGCTGTTTGCCGCCTTACTCGTCGTCCCGATTCTCAATGTTCTTTCTCCCTAGCACTGCGAGTCTCTTAGCCTGGATTTTATGCTATATGTATCTATATACGGGTATGTGTGTGCATTTCCATTGTTCTGTTTTGTGTGTGTATGTGGCTACGGGTGTATGTTTTCTACGTGAGCTCCATTTGCGTTTCTGACATTGATTTCGGGCTCAAAATGATGCACCTTTCTGCCTATACGACTGATATTTTTCAAGGCGAAATTTAGGAGTGGATTCGTAGAAAATATTTGAAAATTTATTGCAATATAATCAATATTATGATAATTCCCTCTTCATTTGACAATATTGTTTGCGTTCGACGTCTGAATTTTATATAAATCATAAAATAATCAAAGATCTTCAAATTTAAATTTATATTCAAAGTGTTCGATTTATTGCCAGGATAAGCCCAGGATAAATAATTTTTGACAATGATATAAATTTAAATTTTTAGATTAATATTGGATATGCAAGAGGAAAAGATGGAAGATGATCGATCCTAAAATGATTACTAACATACTGATGAAAAGCTATTTAGGGGTAGTGAGTGTAGTTCCCGCCTGCACTTGATTGCGCATACAGGATGTTAATTTTAGATCGAATTTATTTTTGTTTCGAGCGATGAGATATTGCCTAATTCTTAACATTAGCTTTCTCGTGCAACATTCCGGGTAAAAAATGGTAAAAAGATTGAAAATCATCTTTAAAATCTTGTTCTGTGACGTTTGTAACTTTTTTATGTGCAAACAAGCGCAATTTCCCCAGATTTCAGAACCGTATAAAATTTCGGAAATTAGCAGTAGAAAAATTAATGAATCTAAGTATGTATATCAAAAATGGAAAATGTTTGGTATTTTATCAATTGAGAACAGCTGGGCCGGTTTGGCTCAAGTACTTTTCAATTTTTCGTATTTTTCAGACAAAGGTTTTTATGAAAGAAAATGTTCAACGAAAAGCTTTAAACAGTTTTTTTTAATCTCAGCCGTACTAGGCGAAGTCTTGACTAGTTCCATAGTCAGTGATCTTAGATATTATTCTCCAACGACTAAACAATCAATTGAGTTATCCTCATTCCTTATCCGTAGTACGCATTTTCTTACGACGTAATGCGTTATCAAAGAGCTCTGACTTCGTGAGATGATCGTTTGGAAGCAATGGCTTCTGAGTATTTTATAATCACATTGTAACGAATGGAGACTAAGAAGGCTGACTATTGTTGTCATGCCGGGCTATACCAGAAATATCCAGTATGGCCTCGGAGTAGTTTGGAACAAAACGTAAAATCCCGACCCCGAAATACGAATATATTGATAACGTTTCCAGGAAAACAAAAAAGACATTTAAACGCATTCATAGAATGTATTTAGCATTCTCTCCATTCTTTGCTCCTGCCTCAACCGAATTTATAAATTAATTTGTCGTGTTCCTCGCTAATTCAAAATCCCCTTGGCTGCAACTACTCCTCGCAAACGAGTACATAGTGGGGTTGGTGGGGAATAAAAACCAAAATACTACGCCAGACGTCACTTCTGTTCCCGGTGCTTTTTGTGCCTTTTCTGCTCCTGTTCCAGCTGCCGCTTAATGCACTTTCACAGTCGTTTGTCATAAGTAGTTAGTGCTCTGTTTGCTCGCCTCTGTTGATTTTGTTTTATTTGTTCGCTTAATCCGTCTCGTAATTAGATATTCCACGCCACACAGACCCTCCAATCCCACTCCGCATTGTGTCAAATGCAAAAATTGTTTTAAGCGGCAATTGCGCCACTTGCAGATCCAACAACACAAAAAAGGAAACTATTTCCGCAAAAAAGTGGAGTAGCACGAAGCACTACACTTTGGAAATCTGACAAGCAAAATTATACGGAGACAAAAAGAGAGCTCACAGAAAGAAAGAAATTTCACGGAGTCAAGCGGATTTAGTTATTTTGCGATTCAAAGATATTTTTCAGAGATAGTTCGTTTAGTTCTACTGGTGAAAATATATTTGCTAATCCAGATTTGCTGTCCAGATTTCTTTGAAAATGTGTATAGTATATAGTTTCTTATGTATGTTAAATATCGAGGCCACATGATGTATTTTATAAGGTTTGAACCTCTCCATCTCTCCATTAAAAACATTAAAAACATACCTGATATTGTCATATAAAATAAAATTGAATTGAAAACGTGTGGATCAGAAATACACGCGTATTTTTGGTTATATTATTTGCCAAAATTGGGTATGAAAATACAATTACATATACTTTTAACAATTGCCATTTTTTTAATATAGAATTATAAATATATAATGTAATATTGGTAGAGGTATGGATGGCGTAGTGACTGAGAAGGATCAATGGGTGGCACACCTTAGACCACATCTTCTTTTTAGGGTTTCTCAAACCGGTGGTTCTCTAGCTTTGGGTCGACTCCACAATTGCCGTGAACTATGTTCAAGATTTCAGAGGGTACCGAATCGAGTTCACCCCTACATTAAAAATTTTGTTGTGGATTACGACCAATATTACCAATTTTACGGTATATTAAATAAAATAAGTTTTATATAATGCTAAAGTTTCTAGAAATTCGTGTTGGCTCTTAAATCAATCGGCATCCGCAGGCTGTCCAAAAAATGAATCATGTAACATCCTCTTTGACACAAGCTGTCCCTTTTCTTTTGGCCTTAAAGTTCTGGCCATGGCACGTGACCCACACTGAGTCAGGGAAGTGCCCCTTTGTTAACCAGGAGGAGCAGCAGGAGCTGAAGGAGCCCCGGGACGATTATGTCAATGCAACTACTTGCAGGACGAGAAGGGAGCTGCTTAAGCAAACGAGGCATGCATTAAAACGGCGATGGCTGCCAGTGCAACTGCAACTGAAACTGAAAATGAGGCAAGTGAATGGGAACAGGCACAGGGGCAGGCAGCGAGAGGGCGACATGGTGAGCGGGTGGGTTGAGAGAGGCTATTGAGAGCTGAAAATGTGGACGGCCTAAGAAACCCCGTTGAATGGATGAAGATGAAGGCCGGCCAAAAGGAAAAGCCAGCAACGAGCAAAACAACGCTTGCGAATGCTACTACTGTACATAAAAAGAGATTTGGGTCAGTTACACGAAAAGCAATGGGCCCAGAGCCCAAGAGCAGGACCACTACTACTGCCACTACCACTATCAGAGCCTCATTCGGGGGAGCAGGACCAGCTTCATCATCAGCAGCGTCATCATCCCATGCCAAAACATAATCGTCAAAGCAGGACCCCTAAGGCTCGAATTGTTGTTTTTGTAGCCCGGCAGCAAAAGTTGAAATAAATTTAATTGAATTTCTGCAGTGACATAAAGCAACTGGCAACTGGCAACTGGCAACTGGCAACATGGGAGGAAACGAAACGAAACGAGACGAAAACGAAAAGACGAGTGTGAAGCCGAAAGAAAGCAAGGAAGGAACGAAAGAAAAACTTTATGTTTCAAATTAATTAAATTTATTTTCTCCCATGTGCCACAACATGTCAAGCCGAAGGAGAGGAGAATCAGAAGAGAATCTCTCGAGTACGAAAGCGAACTAAAATGTTGACTAAATCATCTTGATGGATATCTACGCATGGTCCGATTCAGGATCTGGAATAAGCGACCACCATAAATTCAAGATAGGTAACCAATATTAATGACATCGCTGATAGGGATAGTTCCCCTTAAAGTTGAGGCTCTGTGAACAGAATTTCTATCAGGAAAAACAACAACGAAACAACAACGAACAAGAACGAACGCCGACACAAAGGCCGAATGCCAAAACTAATTTCAATAAATAATAGTGACATTAGACACAAAAGCAACAAGAAGAAAAAATCACTTAGTGGTCTCAGTTCCGGTTTCAGCTACCGGTTCCGCTCCCATCTACTTGCCCATCTACATGGGAATACATTCCCATTGCCATCAGACGCCAGTTGTCCTTGCCTGAAAATGGCAGTTGGTTTTGGGTTAATTAGCCAAGTGAGCGCTGCGGTTACGTGTGCTGCTTTTCCTTTCTACACACAAACACACACACACACATGCTCGTTCACCTACACACATGCAGCTCTCGTCCTCTCGACGCTAATTGCAAAATCCTATTATGTATCCATTAGATACGCATGCTCGTGCAAGCCCAAAAGTATCTCCACGGCACGTCACATGCCAC